CTTTATTCTATGCGAATTCTTTAAATATATCATATTTATGCAGCTATTATCAATTGATTCAACTGGTAATAGACTGTGGATCACTGTACAAAATTCATCATATTTAGTTAAATTATTCAGAGCTTAAATTTTATCAAATTAGACATATTTATTATTTGTTTGTTTGTATTTTTGTATAAATATTAGATCTCTAATTTAAATGTATGAATTTGTAACTAATATGAATTAAAATTCAATTACTAATTATGATCGTATGTCGTCACTCTTTTGTGTAAAATTCAGAAAACAAAGTAGGATTATTTACTTTTCCCATATAAAGAAGTGGTTATTATTGTGAAGGTTTAATAAATGAAACAATCATTTTCTCAAATTTAATTAAAGTTGAAAATTTGGATAGTCCAAATATCTATGTGTAGGTATTTATATAAAAATAAAATTTATTTGAAAAGGCTTGAGTTGAATTTATTTCAAGAATTAGAATCAATCTATAAGTATCAATCTATCTTAATAATGATTGTTATTTCGAAAATAATGCCTGTGATAACAGAATAGCATATTATTTTTCGGTATAGCTAGTTTTTTTTAGCAATTCTGTCGTAATATCCCTTATAAATGTTACACATGTCACGATCTTACTTTTTCTTTTGTGGAAAATGGAATTTATTAAATTTACAATTACTACATTGAAGTTTTTCTATAAAAACATCATCATATCATTAGCAAACACCTAAAATCACTGCTTTAAATTTCTCATTAGATATTATGCTTTGAACAATCTTAATATTCTCAAAATTTGTACAGATCTTTTAATGAAGTTTTGATTAAAAACTTTTCTCTGGTCAGATTATTATGACCAATCATTTAAAAGAATTTATATTTTGTTTTTATTTTCTTGAACAATTTCGTTTATGTAGATGTTTAGCATTATCCACAGAATATTAATGTTTTTCCAATTAAAACAACATTTATTAATATTATCAGTTAAATGCCCTTAAAAGTCGCCATTACACTAAGTAACATCCATTAGATTCCATGAAGAAAATCTAAAATTTTGCAAACATTTCATCATGAACCATTAAGAAATGAAAAGAAAACGAAAATCTCACTTTCTAAAAATGTTAACACTTTTAACAGTTCTTGCTTTCTCGCTTAAGACATCATTGGTGATGGCATCGCAGTATAATCCTGATCATGGTTCATGAGAAAGTTTTGCATGCTGGACATTGAGATAAGGTTTGTTGCTGCTGAAATCATTTGTCTTTGCTCTTCGTCATCCATCATTTCAAGCATGTCACCTAAGCCATCAAGATGATCAAAAGCTGTTATTGCTATCTGGTCGATTCCAACTGTTGAAACCTCTTCAATTGCACGGTCAAGATACTCCTCATCATCACGTGATGTTTGGAGAGGTTCTTCGTAAAAAAATAAATAAATAAAATTTATGTACCTTTTGTAGAACAAAATTAATAATAATAATAAATATATTTGAATATAAAATCATTCAACGCATATATAACTGTAGTATTCTTAATGTTATAATTGTATCATTGAACATATTTTTAATGCAGATATTTTACTATAGATATGTTAAAAAGTTAACACAAAATTGTACAAAATTAAGTATTTTTATTTTGATTTTAATGTGAAGCGAATTATATGGTGATGGTGATATATTGCCACCGAAACAGATCGATGGAATAAAATCTGAGAATGAATATCTTCTTATAGTCTGAAAACCGTAATTTTTTTCACATTTATATCAAATGAACATCAGACGTATCATATGTACTTTTTATACATTGAGTGCAGTGTAACAAAAGCTAAAATGAATAAAATCTAACCTGTTAATATATCATCCAAAGTATTAGTTGCCAAAGAGCTTAGAACTTTTGTTAGCTCGTCAGAACACTCCATTTCAAGTGATCCAATAACATCGTGTGACATCAGTTCATTTTCACTTAGTCCTCCTACACCCGTATCTTCTGAACTTTCGTAACTATTCTCACATATCGTCATTAGATCTTTCTGAAGGTAGAGATCATCGTTAGTGGATTTATTAGCGTAGGTCGTAGACTGGGAGGAAGCTAAAATGTTGCCACTATTTTGATGTATGAACTGACAACTTCCTGACGCAGACACTTCGGATTTTGGTTGTTGAACCGAAGCTTTGAACATTTTTGTCTTAATATCATTTGGATGAATAATAATTGTTTGACGTTGGCCAGGTGTTAGCAAATTTATGTTTGATAGTTTTTTTTTGCTATTTTTTAGGAGAGTTATTGTTGAACTGTTAGCAACACGGTTACCTTGAATAGAGTTTACTTTTTCAAGATATATTGAATCGATAGTCCGCTGATGGTTAAGCTAGAAAATATGATATACATTTAAATAATATAGGAAATCCATCATATTTTTTTTACTTACAACAGCACTTTCATGTTTTTGACAAACTGCTCTTTTCGCAGCGACATCATGAACAGGTATATGACATTGTTCTCCATTCTCATGAAGGAAGCAACACTGTCGAATCAGTTTTTGTTCTTTCTTTGCACACAGTATGTGGCAATTACAGTACTGAGTCATAACAATAGCCTCTTTTGAGCAATCGTTGAACAGGCAGGTTTTTTGTGATCGTTTAAAACTGGAAAAATATTTAATAGAATTTTGTATAGAGAAAAAACTTTAAAGAATTTTAATTACATTTCACGTTTCGTATGATCTAAGTATTTCAGAAGGAGTAAAGTTTTGCAGAATTTCATCTTAGATCGTTCGGTTACTTGGAAATTTTGAATTGTATGAAATTGTTGTGCTCGAAGACTTAGTTGGATCTTTTTTTGACTCAACCGTTCGTCTCTTGACAATTTATGTAATAAAGATGATTCTCTGTTTTCACAAATATTACGTGAACAAGAATTGTAGAGTGCCGAAGATTGTAAATGAAGCGACGGATGGTGCTCGAATGAGTGAATAGTCTCCACATCATACAGTAAAGGAATTGACTCAACGATAATATTCTGAGGTTTCATACATTTTTTCCATCGTCGATAATATAGAATGTTGCTATGCTTCTCGTGTTTCAAAGAGTTTTTTATCGTTTTAAAGTTTGTTTCTTTATCAGATTTACCCAAGGGAAGTTTTCTTTTTATTGCAACTTGAAGCCTTTTGAGTTTTCCTTGATTCATATTGTATTTATCATTGCAAACTCCATATTTAATTGTTTTAGACCGATTTGTGAAATCCTGATAAGGTTCCAATTTTTCCTGTGTATCTTTTTGATATTCTTGATTTTTTTGCGACTGTTGCGAAGAATTTTTTATGGAATTGTGATCAATTTTTATTGAATTTTGATCATCTACATTATGATCGTCTGAACATCGTTCATTTGGGGCTTTAAAAGATTCAGTTACAAGGAACTTGAAGACTTTTGGGGAGGTATACGATGATTTTCTTTCAGCAAATGCGGAAATTTCTTTTTTCAGTCCATTTTTCTTAGGTCTCACCAAAGACGTATTTAAATTACCATTGCTTTTACTCATCTGTGACTTTTCTTTTTGAGCTCGAAAAAGTATATCACTTTCAGAGGAGTCAATCGATGGCTCATGTTGCTCAAACTGGCGACTATATATCGTCTGACGATTAAGAGGAGCGTATTTAATCTAAAATAAGGAAAATAAATAGGTACAAATTTTTTCCGAATCTTGAAAATTTTTGTAAATGTTACTTGGGAGTTACTTTGTTGCAAAAGGGTTGCTGAATTACTTGTGGTGTCCGTAAATACATACGGATCTTCCTGAATAAGCTTTTGACATGACATTTCCACTTGTGATATCTACTACTTAACAGTTTGAGTAATCACGTTTCCTTTAAAATGTTTCCTCAATGGATGCTATTCTTGGTTCGATTCCGAATTATATAAATGTTGGTATAACAATTATCTACAAAATCAATATGACATTTAGCAACACTTCTGTAAATGAATTTTAATAAACAATTGTCTTTCCCAAATATTATTTCCTGCGCAAATGAAAAGCTTTACATATTAAATAGCATAATGAAAGACACCCTTCAAAAAAATACTTCAATAATATAATCATTAAATAATGTGAAAAACTTTAAATATGTACTTTTAAGATTAAAAACGATTTCAACATTATCCTACGAATTTAAAGTCAGCATCGAATTAGCTTGAATAAAGATTTCAGTTATGTGTTTTAAATTACGTTTTAGGTGCCCATATTTACTCGTGCAACAATACCGTCTTCCTATTTCAAACCTGGTATATAATTGTAATTTTTTAGGCTTCTTTTCATATATTTTTTATTCTTTTCTTTTCTTTACTCTCTGTTTTTTTTCCTTCTTGTTGTGGTCGATGCCTTTTGCATCTTTTCTCTGTTTCGTTTTTCTACTTAGTATTTTGATCATTCAACGAAACATAGGTATGATTGTTTCTATTGTTTTCTGATCGACAGAAAATAAATCAAACTTGGACATAATTTACAAAAATATTAAAAAAGTCAACATTTCAAAATATTAAAAAAACTTTTACACAGCTTCACTGCATTTTCTAAAATAATATCAAGTTGATTAAATAGGTATTCAAAAAAAAAATCAAGTCAATAAACCTTAAAACACATTTCTTTCTAATGTTCTTAATAAGTAAAACTACCGTATTTAATCATTTTATGCGTATGTCTAATTCGTCTTAAATTTATTATAAAATCATATTCAATTTATGCCACTTATTATCGATATTGTTTATGTTTATATTGTGATTATTATCATACACAAAAGAATTCCCCTTAAAAAGAAACAACTAAAGCCAAGATTAAAGCAATTATAAGAAGGGGAAAAATATGGAAATTTCACATGAATTTTTTTCCACTTTTAAAGATTCTTTGACAGTTATAGCCACGATTAAAGTGTCATTAAATGGTATTTCTTTGAATATTTAAATTTACTATAATTTAAAACCTTTTCCATACGAGAAATAAGTAAAATTGTAATGATGAATGAATGCAAGGTCAAACAAACAAAAACTCACTTTAGTTGGAACAAACACATTAAATTTCCTTTTCCATATTATATTTTACAAATTAATAAACCCAATTTTTTATGTAAACTAATTATGTACAATTAAATGCAGTTTTTTTCTTTCTGTAATTAAATTTCTGAAAATTATTTTCAATTTAGGTAGAGTGTGTTCAGTTGTTTTGTAAATTTGATGTTTTTCTCTTTAATTTAAAATTTTCATTCATATTTATTAGAATTTGACTGATATGCATTTCTAATAAATTAGAAAAACAAAAGAATGTTCTAAAATGAAGTAACTTTAAATTGATTATTAAACTATTTGTAAGAAATAATCAAATACCTTTTCGAAAAGTTGCGAACCAATGCTTTACAGCATAGCGAAACATAAAACACTTAAGAGCTGCCGGTTAAATGAGAGAAGCATAAACATTTCGCTTTATTTTGTAAACTTCCAAGTTTCATTTCGGGTTTCGCTGAACGTAAAATCGGACGTAAATTTTAAAGTTTTCGTGTAACATTTTTATCTAAAAATGTTTAGAACTTAAAATTGTGAGATTTCTTTTGCTACATTTCAATTTTTTTACTTTCTTATTCTGTATTGTTTGAAAATATAAAAAACGGAATTGTGTAACGACGAACCAATTAAATTAGCAAAATAATACAACAATCTCTCAATCAAATCAAAGTTAAAACCTCAAACTTAAAATTTTCAAATAGTGAATAAATAATTAGGATTCAGTTCTTTTTTTAAAAAAAATGCACATTTTTATGATTCTTAAATTCTTGGAAAAGGAAAACAAGTGAGAGTTATCTAATGAAGAAATTAATTTATTTGAAGCATCGTGCGTGCAGTTTAAAAAAAATATTCACCTAAATAAATCACTAAAAACTCAATTACATAATTTCAATATTCATTACTATTTTGAAGGCAATTTTGCTCCATTCATTTACCACAAAGCAGATAAAATTTGTGTAGAGTAGATTAAAAATAAAATTTTTCAAGTAAACAAATAACAGTGTGAATTATGAAAGCTGTTAATATTGTTTACATATTGGAGACGTTTTTCTTCCTGAGTAGTCATGCCATTCAACCATCTACCTTCGGAGGTGTAGTTGACTCATTTGGTCAACTAACTTACACGATAAGGGTGAAGTTCATTCAGATATACTTATATTTTGAAAATAACACAATTATTTTCTTTCTGTTTTTTTTAATTACTATAACAAATCAATTAGACAAGAGCTAGATACTTATTTTTGAAAATTAGGTATCTACTATTTCAACGAAATAAATAACAAAATTTTTAATCGAATAAAATTATTTACTCAGTGTTAATCATATATTTAAAAAAATAATTTCATTGAATTACATTTGAGAGAACTTATGAACATATAGAATCTAAAATAATGTTAACATATATTTTATTTCTCTTTCTATCTAATGAGTTAACATGCATATAAAAAATTGCTTTATGCTTCCTTTGTTTAAACTTCAATTTTTATTTGAATAAAAAAAAATTTAAAAAAGTAATGTCTTCAAATAGTTATCAATTTATAATTTAAAATACTTGCTTTATTCAAATTTTAGATTTTAAATGTAAATTGTTTTTATTTACTACCCAAAGTTCTACTATCTACTTATATATATCTGAAATTGTACTTTCTCAATGATGAAAAAACCACATGACAAAAAGACAAAAACTTAAATTATTTTCTTCTTTGATATGATAATTTCAACATAAGAGAGAGAAAAAAGTGAAACAGTCAGTCGTGTTGGTTCACTGAATATTCCTATTGACCCACAAAAATATTCATGGCTTTTAAGTTTTTGGCTCATAAACAAGATTGACTTAAAACAAACGCTGCTGTATAGATATTTGTTTTCTCTTGATGAAATTCTACATCTTTGAAATTTTTTAACATGTTTATAGTCCTTGATTTTTTTAACTTTTAAATCTTTCGAAAATTGCCTATTTAATGTACTCATGTTTTGTTTTTTTAAATCCTCAAGTCGAATATTCTGCAACTACTTACGAGTAATGCACTTTGTGCAGAAAGAGAAAATATTACATCACCATTGAAATCACTGGTGTAATAAAAGATCGCGCAAACAAGTTTCATGACAGTACATTATAAGTGGTTGAAAGCAAAGAAAAATGTTGGATTTTAATTGAATCATAATTCCAAAATCTTTAATGATAAACAATCTAAAAATATACATTTGACTAAAAAGTATCTATACAATTTTGCAGGATAATGAATTATTTTTTTTCAATTCTTTTGGTTCAAAAATATCTTCATTTTTTTTAAGGAGACTCCAGCATGGAAACGATTCAGTGACATGCAGATGCAGCGTTCTCGTGGAATGCTTTTACCACGAGCAGTGAATGCTGTTCAAGATATTGTTAGAGGAATAAGACAAGCGGGAAGAGTTGTTGTTACCACAAAAGACGGCGCGTTACGTGGCAGATATTTGCAATATAAAACAGGAACTGCAGGCGGATATTATAGTTTTCAGGGTATGAGGTATGGAAAGGCTCCAATTGGAGATAGAAGATTTAAAGCTCCACTACCAGAAGTTCCTTGGAAAGGAATTAGATCGGCATTAAGAGAAGGTGCTAGTTGTCCTCATCGAAATATGATTCTAGAGAACTATAAGGGAAATGAAGATTGTCTTTATTTAAATGTTTACACTCCAAAACTTCCCGAATCTTTCTTAGATGAAGATCCTAAACTTCCTGTACTCTTCTGGATTCACGGTGGTGGTTTTCAGTTCGGAAATGGAAATGCTTTTTTCTATGGACCTGATTACCTTATCCAAGAGGATATAATATTAGTAACAATCAACTATCGACTAGGTGCTTTAGGTTTTTTAAACATTGGAACTCCAGATGCACCTGGAAACGCTGGTTTAAAAGATCAGGTTTTAGCTCTTAAATGGGTTCATGATAATATTGATGTCTTCGGAGGTGATCCGAATGAAATTACTATTGGTGGTCAGTCAGCAGGATCTGCTTCAGTTCATTATTTGATATTGTCACCATTGACAAAGGGCCTTTTCAAGCGAGCGATCGCACAGAGTGGTGTATCTCTAAACCCATGGGCAATTACTGATATTTCAAAAAAAAGAGGGTTTATGCTTGGAAAGGCTTTGAATTTTGAAACAAATGATACTAATTCACTTGTGAGTAAGTTCGAAGATAAATCATTTCATGATTCAAGGTTATTTACTAACTTAATCAACAGATTTTTTGAGGAAGGTTAATCCTCAACAAATAGTTGATGCGTCTTCAAAAACGTTAACAGAAGAAGATGCCAAAAATAATGTTGGACTTGCTTTTGTACCGTCAATGGAAATGGAAATGGATTCATTGGGAGAACATGACGCTGCCTTTTTAACTGAAGATCCAAGAAAAATCTTGACAGAAGGAAAATTCAATAAAGTTCCACTTCTTATAGGCTATAATGCTAATGAAGCTATGCTGTTCTTAAGACGTAAAAACATTTTTATTTTATGTGCTAAATTTTATAATAAATACATTCTTTTGATATTTCAGGATTTCGAAAAGATAAAACTCTCTTGGATAAATATGAAAATGATTTCAATCGCTTAATTCCAACAGATTTAAACGTAACTCAAGGGCGGAATTCGAGCGAAGCTAATTTGGTTGCAGACAGAATACGTGATTTCTATTTAGGAGGTCGTCCAATCAGCCAAGATACAATTGAAGAAATGATATTTCTTTTAACTGATGAGATGTTTGTCAGAGGTATGACAAATGCTGTTAAATTTCATGCAAAATTTACACCAAATGCTACATTCGTTTATCGATTTGCTTATGACGGTGCTTTGGGTCTTTATAAAAGAATTTTAAATGTAAACCGTCCGGGAATTTGTCATGGTGATGAATTAGGATACCTTTTCTATTTCGGAATCTTTAATGTTAAACTCGATCCCTTATCGTCAGAAATAATAACAAAGCAGCGGATGGTAAAAATGTGGACTAACTTTGTAAAATATGGGTAAGTATCTAATTCAAAATTTCTTAAACTATTTTCATATTTTTCGAGAGTAGATATATTTTACTCTATCTACACAGTTACAATATTTAGTCTGTGAAAATGAAATTTTCATAAATTTCAACTTTTGCTGAATTTGAAATGTGCGAAAATGAAAATATTATAAGTGCATACTGAGGTATTTGTTTTATTTTTCATTAAAACACCAATGCATGTTTTAATGAAAAATAAAACAAATACCTCAGTATGCACTTATAATATTTTCATTTTCGCACATTTCAAATTCAGCAAAAGTTGAAATTTATGAAACACAAGATTAATTAATGACGTCTTATAATTCTTCTTCTGGTAGCTTAGAAGAAAAAGAAGTAAAATTTAGGAATTCACAATTTATATTTATATTATACTTACATGTAATATCGAAATTTTCCTCTCACATAAAAGTTTCATGACAAAAGTATGACTGTAAGACTGTAAATGTATCATGTTCGCCAAAATAATGTCAATTTTGAAATTAAGTAATGTCTTTTTTTATTTTTAGAGATCCAACACCACTTGGCAATGGAGATGAATCTCTTTCCATCAAATGGGAACCAGTAAAAACTATGCAACCCTACCAAATTCCTTACCTAGACATAACTAACAAGTTGGAAATGAAAAGAAATCCAGAAACTGAGCGAATGGAATTTTGGGACGATTTATACGAGCAATACAACGGTGATTTTATGTACCTAACAGAGATTGTAAAAAATAAAATCAAGAATTCATAGAAAAGAAATTTCGGCCACATAAGAAAAAGCAGAAGCATGTATATAACAATTAATTCCTACGAGACGAGATGAATGTAACCATATGTAAGTGTCACGAGCTATTACAAAAACAATTTGAATGTTAAGTTTTCACAGATATAAATCTGTTTCCATAATTAAGAGTTTAATAAATTGTACTTGTTAATTTTAATCAACATTTTTTACGTTTTTTTTCTCAAATTCAGCTGTATTGCTATTTATTGGCTGGTGATTGATAATAAATGAAAAGTTGAAACAGGAAAAGCATTTCGTCAATGACTATCTCAGAACTTTCAAGATGTTTAAGTCTTGATTTTGTTTTTTCTACAATCTCTTTCTCAGGTGGAGTAAGAGTTTCATTGATCTAAAAACAAGTAGTTTTACCAAAATATATTAGTAGTAAATAATATTTTATTATTTTAAATTATTATTACCTCGTGTATAACTTCTTCTGACTCCCCTCGTTCTTTCATTGCATCAACAATGAATTGAAGTCTCATAGACTTTTCCATAAGTCGTTTGTTAATTTCCTTATCTATATTGCCACGCTTCATAGAGTTGTATAACGCTTTATAACATGTTTCAATTAACATCAAAACAATCTAAAGAATGATACATATATTCACGTGTATGATTATATATTTATAAAACATATTTTATAATCGACTTACGTGATATTGATTTATATGAAAAAGATAAAAAGCTTTTACAGGTCCAGTTCCACCACCTCCAACCTTTTTAATTGTATGGATTTGTAAAAAACCTTCCTCCAGTAAACGGTATGTGTGTAACTTTGCTTCTTTTCCGGGAATCATAGCTTCTCTCTGAATTTCTTCTTGCTCGAGATATTTTCTTGCTTTTACAACACGAAAAATTCGAGTTGCTTTTGACCCAAATTTTTGAGTGATCACGTTTTCAATGATTGTCCAGACAAGTTGTTGAAGCGCCACAACCATATTAACCGTGTATATGCCGCCACCTGATTCATCAATTTTTTTGAGGAATCCACTTTCATTTTTTTCTATCACTGAAATGTATTGATCAAAATACTTTACAAGGTCTGAATTACTAGATTTTCTTGTAATCAATTGTTTCAGTTCAAAATATGATATTGGATTGGATGTTGTATTCCAAGCATCAGTTTTTTTTTCCATCAGTTGTAAAATAAATTGAAAAGCTTCACCAGCATTGACATCGATTTGACGATCGATCGTATTTACAAGAATCTTATCCCTTAAATGCCTATGCAAGCAGTCAAAATTAACAGTCCAATAAATGTTTGATGACGGTTCGCAACCACTTTCAATGTATGACTTGATGTCTTCCAAATCTATATCAGGCAATTCAAAAAAATGTATCTTATCAAGTTTCAGTTGTGGAACTGAGTCGTCTGATATGTTTGGATGTCTTATAAAAATAGTTTCATTGACAAGATGACAAAAAGCATCGCGAAGTTCTTTCAAGGTGTTATCATTTTTCCTTTCAAGTTGGCTGTAGCATCTAGCAATGATTAATTCTGCAATTCCAACACTTGAATGTAAAACCTCTTCCAGCAAAAGAGCTGACATATTTCCATATTTTTTTAATATGAAACAGACGTAGTGAGGATATCGTAACATAAGAAGTATTTTGTCAGGAAGAAGCGAGTATTCGGCTATGCTTTCATTATGTTCACATGCAGTGAATTTGACAAATTGATGCTGCACCAATATCGATAAACTGGCTATGACCTAAATTGAACATGTTTTATTAATAGGTAATAAATCTTTCTCACGGATAAATAAAAAAAGGTTTAGAATTTTTCACCTGTTTTCGGCTAAGTTTTGTAGAAGTAACAATTCCAGTGATTGTTTTGGACACAGATGTAAAAAGATTTTCGCCTACAATCTTAGCAGTTTCTCCAAAGTGCTCTTGTAATATAAGCGAGCATAATTTCATGAAATTGGCGGTCATTTTTATTACCTCTTTCAATTGTATGCTTCAGGACTATGTTTCAGGACTATGTTTTGCTTTTCTGAAAAATGAATGCGTTCAAAAATTTCTTCACTTCTTCGACCCTATTCTTCGACTGTTTAATTCGGTTTGTGAATGCCTGCCCTAAACATTTTTTTGCGTGTACATATTTAAAAATGAAATTAAATTTTTCTTTATTCTAAAATTGATACTTTGCTGATACTTATACATATTAAAAAGACTCTTAAAATACTTATATGTGTTCGTGTTTATAGATTAAAGTGAATTATTTAGGTACAATAAATATATTGATGAAAAGAAGCTATTAATTATATTGGATAATAATAGCTGATGCAAACCTAAAACTCACAAAAATAGATCAGTGAGCCCTAAAATCAGCAACACAAATTGTATTTAGTTTTTATTTTAAAAATTTTTAGAAAAATGCATCCTGCAGGCTCAAATGAGAACCAATCAACATTCAAGCTTTCGCCTGAAGATGCAGCGGAATTAAAAAATATCAGAGTCTTATTGTGGGGAGCTTCAGCGTGCGACAATTATCATTCTAGTTTTGTCAGATGGAGTCAAGGTTTTGTTTTCAGTAGCGATGAACAAAGCGCGTTAGTTCAAAATGCTGGGGGTAACATTTATTTTAAATTGTATGAGTGATCAGAATAGCTAATACTTATAGCATTTTAAATTCTAGGTCCTTGTAGTGTAATTGCAACTGTTCAGGCTTATATATTGAAACATCTTATAATGGAACTTCCAGCAAGTCATCATTTTAAAGATCTAACATCAGAAAAATGCAAAACAATTCTTATTAAAGCTGTTTGTAATATGCTCATAAATTGCAAAGAAAAAGCAACAATAAGAATAGTTTTATTGGATAAATTGAATGCTGATGTAGAGAAAGCATTGGAGTCTTCTGAACAGAAATTTCAAGAAAAGCAGAAAACTGAGCATATGGAAATATCACTGAATCATGATGATATCAGTGGAGAAAGTGATGGCGATTATGTGTTACAATCTCGTGAAAGTGATCTCTCTCCAGATCATTTTCATGAACGCCTTTTCATTCATGATTTCGACACCATTGAAGAAGTCGAAAAGTTTTATTCTGAAAATTTCAATATATTAAGCAATCGTTATGGGGTTCTTCTTCATCTTTATAGTGTCCTTTTTACTAAAGGAATCGATAACGTGTTAAACGAAATATCCGACACTTCCGAACCTCTTATACATTCATCATTTGGCTACGGATCTCAATCTCTAATTAATCTCATGTTAACGGGACGTGCTGTGCAGCATGTTTTTGATAATGATCAAAATATAGGTGGAATGAAATTAAAAGGAATTGACCGCCAATCCGATATTGGTTTCATAACTCTTATGGAACAACTTCGTTATTGTACAGTTGGAAGCTTCTATAAAAACCCTAAACATCCTATTTGGGTGATGGGATCGGAAACACATTTAACGGTGCTATTTAGTAACGAAAAAAGTCTTGTGTCACCAGAAACCCCTGCTGAACACGCACGACGCATCTTTAGTCAATACGATACTGAAAATTCAAGTAAGTTATCCTTAAGGTTCTATATTAGTCAGTTTTTTACCTCATCGTTTTATAGGTTTCATTTCAAGTGCTGTTTTACAAGATATTCTAAGTGCTTTGGGACTTGAAAGTGATGCTGGGTACGTTGAGATTATGAGAAAAAAACTTGATCCAGATGGAACAAGTATCATCTTACTTAGTGATTTCATGTATGAATTCTTCCCCGATGACAAAAAGTCAACACCCGACACATTTAATTTATACCATTATAATGGCATACCAAACTCGAACGATGCTCATAAAGTACGTTACAGTCACGGAAAAGCAATTTTACTTGAAAGTCATATCGGGGATATGTGCAGCCAATCAAATCCAATGTTGACGTGCTTGCAAACAAAATGGCCAAATATTGAAATTAATTGGGACTCGCGAGTACCCTCATTAAATTGACCAAATTATCAGTTGCCTTCTGATAGATGATATCCATTTTTTCAAGCCTTAAACCGGAATATTATTGTATTGTGCTGATATAAGAAGTACAGTTATGTTCTAATTAATCATTCATCGGTATAAACAAATTTCTGAGAACAAAAATATTATTTTTATTTTTTCTTGTGTAGATATTTCATCATAGAGTTTATTTTCAACAAGCTGACTATCTGTTTTTAAATGGAAGAATTTTCCAGTTGCTTTAATCTTTTTCTTCTGAATTATATAGATAAGTACTTTTATTTTCAGGTTATTACCTGATTTATTATCATGTTCATTAAAACCAAATAAAAGTCATTCAAATCAAGAAACACACATCACAATAATATATCCTACGATTTACGACAATTCATTTGATTTCAGATTATATCGAAACTTTAGAGTGTGTTGAAATTGAGTTTATATTTTTTTCAAAATAAATATTACCTATGTCTTTTATCAAAGTTTCAATTCAACATTTTACATTAATAAATAATGTTTCTCACTGAAGCTTAATCTGTTTAATCTCTGCTTAATCCATTAATAGTATAAGGGATGAATTGATTTTTAATGACTAATAATCCATTAATTTTGATCGCCGCCTTTATATTTACTGAGTTTTACAATAATGGTTGCTTTGTCTGTCTCAATTCATTTCCTTTATTTTTAATTGATCAATAATTCAATCGCAAAAAGATACCTTCTTACTTTTTATGTTGTGTATAACACAAAAGCATAAACTTCAGCACTTTCGATTAAGGCAATTACCAAGCAGAGTGAAGAAGTTTTCGAAGCTGATGTAAAGCTTGTGTTGAAAGTTTTCTTATGTGAAAAAATAAAGAACGACTTAAAATAAGAAAAAAAGAAATGTTACGAAAGTGCTTTACTATTCAATCTCAGAACCTTTTCAACAACTTAGTAAGTATTAGAATTTGATACTAAAGTTTTTCATTCGTAATTGAAATATTCAAGAAAATAAAAAGTATTATCTAATCACCCACTATATTCTTGAATACGATTGAAAAAAAAATTGAAAAGAAAATTGAAAATAACAATTAGAATAGTAATTAGAAGTGGTCGATTATCTAATCCTCCATGAATTCTATGGAAAATTTGCTTAAATTACTCTTTAAAACACCCGCAAATATGGATGTCATAGTCATTTTTAGTATAAACTTAATGCTATTTATTTTATTTTTTCATCATTCTCTTTATTATTTTAGAAGGTATCGTCTACGGTCACCAAGAAATATTTCTCATCAGAAGTTCAGTTCGAAACTAAGGTTGAATTAATAATAATGCTATAAAACAAATTTTAACAAGAGACTCATTTTTCCTTCAGGATTTTAAATTGCATAAATTAAATGATGGACCCAAAACCAATGTCACTGTAAACAGGGAAGATGCTTTGAATTACTATCGTCAAATGTTGTCTGTTCGTCGTTTAGAAGCTGCATCTGGTGCAATGTACAAAGAAAAACAGATTCGCGGATTCTGTCATTTATATTCTGGCCAAGAAGCTTGTGCTGTTGGCATGAAGGCAGCACTGAGACCACATGATGATGTTATAACAGCTTATCGTTGTCATGGTTGGACCTACTTGATGGGAGCATCTATTGCTAGTGTTTTGTGCGAACTCACTGGACATATTGAGGGAGTATCTCGAGGAAAAGGTGGATCAATGGTGATGTCTGATTTCTTGTGCAAATATTACTCAATAATTAAAAATAATATTATAGCATTTGTATGCACCTAACTTTTATGGAGGAAATGGTATCGTGGGAGCTCAAGTTCCATTGGGCGTAGGAATAGGATTCGCCTCTAAGTATAAAGGAACAGACGGAATCTGTGTTGCCCTATATGGTGATGGTGCAGCCAATCAAGGACAAATTTTCGAAGTTTACAATATGTCAAAGTTATGGGGAACACCTGTTATATTTGTTTGTGAAAATAATGGTTACGGAATGGGTACATCAGCAGAACGTGCATCTGCAAATATTGAGTATTATACTCGAGGTGATTTCATTCCTGGAATTTGGGTTGATGGCATGGATGTGTTGGCAGTTCGTGAAGCGACTCGATTTGCTGTAGATCATGCAGCAAATGGGAAAGGTCCCATTCTTTTGGAAATGGCCACATATCGTTATTCTGGTCATTCAATGTCAGATCCAGGTACAAGTTACAGATCACGCGATGAAATCCAAGAAGTTCGACAAACACGCGATCCAATCACATCTTTGAAAGAAAAAATTTTGACCTCCGGAATGGCAACAGAAGCTGAAATAAAAGCCATTGACACAGAAGTGAAGAAGGAAGTCGATGAAGCAACTAAAAAAGCTAGGTCAGATCCAGGAATTAAAGTCGAGGAGCTTACATATGATATTTATGCAAATGATGAAAATCTCAAATTAGTACGAAATGTGATTCCAAATGCTGAACTACCTCACAAGCGATTTAACACAGCAAGAAATTTATAATTTTTTTTTTTTGTATAATTTTCAGTTCATTTTATTTGTAATTTACATTCATTTGAATCTTTCCAACAAACGCATTTGTATGTAATAATGAAGTATAAATGTTTGTTTTCTTTTTCCCGAATAATAGTTACAATATTTTGCATTTTTTGAACTATATTTTTATATTTTTTCACACTTTTAAAAATTTAGAGAAACCACTACATTAAAAATACATAATTACAAACGAAATGTTGGCTTTAAGTAAAGAAGACAAATTCAAATAAATATGAATTAAGAAAATTGGTATTACATTAACTATAAGTATGTTTTAACCCAAGGAAAGAGATCAGATACATAAAGAATGAACTCCTGAATTATCGAACAGCTGTAGATCGATCATGTCAATCATAGAAAAAAAATTGATTATATATTTGCATTCCAAAATACTGTAATGATGTTCCATATTCTATAGTTTCAGTTTGCATTCAATAGTGTTCTAAATGTGATATATATATACATGTACATATGTATGGTGTATACATACACCAAGTTATATCTTAAAGGTTTGTTGGTATTTAATCAACAGGTGTAAAATTGTGTTGCCAAATGGAAGAAAAGTTCATTTCAACACAAACACATTCTCACATTTCAGTGAACCAGAAAATATATAAGTACCTACTACCACTAATTTTTTTAACTACCTTATTTCACTTTACTCAACGTATTCCATTCTCAGTTCTTTTTAGTCTGTTTTAGGTGAAAGAGTGAGACGCAGTTGGCTCTAAATTTGTATTTAGCTCATACAAATAGTTCACTTTCGTTCCATTAAAATTTCTGTTCTTCTTAACTCTCTTTATTGTTGAAATTAGTAACACAATTTAGTTACAACAAAATTTATGAACCGAAAAAAATTTGTTCGTGTTTTTTTAACCACATGATTTGGAAATATCTATGGGAAAAATAAATTGAGAAACTCTATATCACCTAATTAACACAAACTACAACTGAGAAAATATTAATGAAAAAGTTCAAGAAAGTTATTAAGTGTATGTGTCACTCATAAACAGTGAAAAATTTATGAAATTTTAAAATACAAAAAACATTCGAAATTTAAAGAATTTTGAAGTAATGCCATTGTTTAATAAAAAACCTATTAAAACAAACTCTCCAACAAACACAGCTGCAATTGTAAACCAGAATGTAAATGAACACAATCCCATGCAACCAGCGCAAGTAGTTCCATCACCTATTAAGCCTTCAGCTCCTAGTCTTGTTTTTCACTGTCAACTCGCTAATGGATCACCAACAGGTTTAATCACAGGATTTTCAAGTGTCAGAGAGCTTTATCAGAAAATTGCTGAATGTTACGACTTTTCAGTAGATGAGGTACTTTCAAAACTTTTGAATCTTTAATTATTCTTCTCTATAATTTCGTTATCTCGTTTATTGATATATACCTACTTACAATTACGAGATAAAAATAGAAAGATAAAACTAAAGTGTCTACCTGAAAAATATTTTTTTTGCAAGAAATAAAATGACGTGGAATGTTCACCAAAAGTTTAAAAATATTTAGTATTAAACTAGTTTTTTTATTGATGTTTCAAGTAACTTCAATAATAAGACTTATTAGTAAAGCGGTTTTCATTGTTAAAGTTAATTTGAAGCTGATTTGATATGGATCTGTTTGGGCAACATAGATTACAATTTATTTGAAAATCAGCTTTTTCCCCAATTTAAAAAACTTTCTTTTTTGCATCAAAACTACAGAATATGTAATTTTCTCAGAACACTTTATTTGTGTTAAAATTGATTCTTCATCTCCAATGAGCTCATGTAACAGTTTGTGTTTAAACAAAAAGAAAATATTGAGCACACGTTTCCAGTATATTTTTTTAAAGTCCATTCCATAATGATGGGAAACAGATTATGATAATTTTTTTGCCGTCTACTAAGATGTTTGAAGCAGCTAAAATAATTTATCTCAGAACTAGATGCAAAAAGATATTTCATACTAATATATTCATAGCAATACTAATATCTAGTAATATTATTTTTGAAATTTTCTTCCTATTTATTCATTTTCTGTTTGCACAATCGGTTTATTTTAATGTTCTTTTCGCTCTAATTACACTCATCTCTGCATTATACTTTCGACTCGGTTGTGAGTGCAAAAAACCATTTGTAGTGTGCTCAGCTTAACTTATCCACAAATCATAACATGATGAAGTAAAGTGTTGGAATCTAACCTTGTAAGCATGTATTATCATGTTTTAAAACATCAATTGCTCAAATTATTCAATTAAAAAGTGTCAAAATATTCTCATCTACTTAATATGCCTATTAAGTGACTAACTAAAACTTTTTGTTCAACTCTTTAACAAGCAACTAATATTAAATAAGTCTGAACGATTCCTTAATCTTTCAAGATCCTTCAATCTTTCACTTATTAGAAAAGAAATCATTATAATATCAATAAAATAGATAACCAAATTGCCCTTTTTCGTAGAGAAATAAATGCAAGTTACTTAAAAAAAAACATTTTTTATGTCATTTACCTCGTTGATTTTAAAGAGAAGAACGGAAGTATGCCCTGGTGATTCTTAATGTTGTATACGAAAATATTATGAACCAAAAATCGTCAACATTGTTATTTTGATAAGTGAAAAATATTCGTGTAGTGTCATTACATACTAAATTTAAATATTTTCTCTAGAACTGTATATTTGCGATTTTAATTTATGTATCTACCTAGTTGTATAAATTTACAATTATTATTTCAGATCCTTTTTTGCACATTAAATTCACACAAAGTTGACATGTCCAAACTCCTTGGAGGTCAAATTGGATTGGATGACTTCATTTTTGCGCACAGAAAAGGGAGACCAAAAGAAATTGAAATTAATAAATCAGAAGATGCCCTAGGACTAACAATAACCGACAATGGTGCTGGCTACGCTTTTATTAAAAGAATAAAAGAAGGAAGTATCATAGATAAAATCCAGTATATTCAAGTAATATTGTTGATCTATTTCTAAATTCATTTTAATTAAATTTATGTATATTTTTTTTAAGATTGGGGATCATATCGAGAAGCTTGATGGAGTTAGTGTTGTTGGCAAACGCCATTACGAAGTTGCTCGACTGTTAAAAGACATTCCTACAGGTGAGCTGATTATTGTTATGAATATATAAATTTTTAATTAATTATTAGTTATTTGAATTAACTATTAATTTAAGTTTTAAGTTTATTAGTTTTTATAGCTTACCATTTCGCAAATACTTAATTTTTAAAATTCGTTACCGATTTCATAAGGAACGATGTTCACAATGCGTTTGGTTGAACCAATGAAGAGTGGATTTCAAACAATAGCACCTCGAAGCACGAAACTTATAAACAAGAAAAGTTATGGTACTGGTAAAGAAACTTTGAGATTCAAGGCAAATGGAAATGCTGCTATTGAAGATGAGGTACAGCTTAAAAATTGCTTGATGCTAATGAGACATGAGAGATTAACATTTATTATATTTTAGCATGACGATAATACGCAACTAGGAATTGAAGCCATAAACGTTCTACTCGATTCATTTTTTGGAATCAACGATAATGAGTTGGCTGTTCAAATTTGGGATTTGGGAGCAAATAAAACAAATTCTATGGACTTTGCTGAATCAATTGACAATTCGGATTTAGAGGCTTTCGGATTCACTGATGATTTTATCATTGATCTATGGGGTGCAATCACAGACGCAAGACAAGGAAGAATTAAACGATTAAATGAAACAAATTACGGTTTTCAGACTATTGATTAAATCAACATCAGACGTATAAATATTACATCAATTCAAACATGGTTGAAGAATTAAACGATAATATTATGTGATGGAATACAAAGTCTGAGAACTTTTGTAATATTAAATATTTTCGCTACAAAATTTATATTTTTATTCAATTTTTTTTTGAATAGGTTTGAATGAAAGTTCATTTGAATCTGCATTTAATTATTGAATTAAACTTGAAGACTTTTTACTATTAAAACATTAACCGTTGTTGCTGTTTTAGTTTCTTTAAATTTTGACTTAAATACATTCCTGAGGAATCATTATCAACGTTGAAACAGGTGATAAATTTAATCAAGCTCTTTATCAACTGATTAGTTTTGATGGAGTGCTTTTATTTTTTCAAATGCTTATTTACATGAAAAAAAAAGCAGTTGCAAATTTTTCAATTTTAACTTCGAGAGTTTGATTTACCTAATAGTTTAATTGAAATTTTTTATCATTTTTACTATTCAAGGTAACTTAGCAAGAGTATATTTTGATCAAGATATGTAAGTAGATAATTGATAATTTCCAGAGCGTGCGTACGTTAAATTATATTCAACACACTGATCCATCAATTATTCCTGCCAAAAACAAGTGACGAGCGTATCGTCTTCTATTTTCTAAAGTTTCCAGATTCAAGTACTTTCATCTTTCATCATATGTGGGTTCTCTTTGAGAAATCATTCTTTTGCATGTAAGTTTGGAAAATTTTCTTTGAACCCTCTCAACTATTTTTAAGACATCATCTGTAAATGGAGATCAGGGGTATTATCGGGTTTAAAACGAATTGGAACAGTATGGCAACTTCAAAACAAATATTTGCCGAGAAAAAATATAGCGACACTGCACAATTAGATATTTTTTTTATTTTATCATACGTAATTATCAATAATTATTAGACTTTGAGCCTTCATAAATATTTTATTACCTGCAGATGAGAGCCTAATGATCTTCTGTACCAGAAGAAGTAGGCTCGTGTCACACCCTTCTGATCAAATATAATCTGAAATTTTATTCAACTGCATATCACGCTGAACTTTGTCAGATATATGCTTTATTTGTTTCATTTGTAAGTTTGAGCATCTCATGTTACACAAGTTTAAAAACCTATGAAATGCGAACTGATGCTGTGATCAAATCTTTTACTTACTTAAAGAAAGTAGTTGAGTGAATAGAAGGAATAAACTATCATGACTGGAATATTTATATGAATAAGTATGATGATCATGAATAATTAAATATTTAGAAATAGGTAGGTATTTACATATATACTTCAGTAATTGCATAATAACGATGAATTTTTTAAATATTTCATAAATATTTTGTATCGAGGTCATAAAATTATGATGACGGTCAACATAGACCGAAAGATGCATGCAACTGAAACGATTCCTTTTATCTCGGGGAATGTCTGTAAGAAATATTTCACTAATACACTACACTTAAAACACCAACTTTTTTTTACTTTCTTATTTGAACTCTTCAAAACTTTTTAATTATAAAGTATTGAGCATGAAGTGCTCGCGGTTTTTATATTAATTTTATTGTTCTCTCAGTTCAATCAAGAGGCTGAGAGTATCTTTACTTACTCCATAAGGGATGATCGCAATAGGAAAATTGCATCATTTCGAAATGCTTTGTATGGAAAATATGCGGGCGTGGAAAACATGCGCTATACGCATAAAATTTCAAACCAGCATTCCAGGAGGTGCAATCAAAATACTAGATTGATGGAACGCCCAACTCCTGTTGCAAAATATCTAAAGATAAATGAAAAAGAAAAAAAATGTTTTGTACGTTGCAATTTTTTTATGAAAAATTTTCTGAATTAATCTAGTTATGGGTGTCCACTATTCTTAGCAAAAACTAAGCTTATATGAAGAATAACAATTCCATTACGACTGAATTAGCAGTAACAAACTAAGAAAAGAGTTAAAGAAAATTAGAAAACATCTTAAAACGCATGGAAAATTTTATGAAATCATGGAAAACTTTCGGTATACTTTTTTTCGCAATTCTGTCGTAATGTCATAACAATTGCCATTTCACTTAAAGTTTAATATTTCAATGTCTGCCCTGGCGATGGCTATCACAGGTCTACAGAAAATTATTCATGGTAGGTACATTAAAAACTAAACATTAAATATAAAGTAATCTTAACCTACATCATGGCTTTGAATTTAAATTTGGACTTATTTACAATTGTATTTAAACTCTTTTGGTCTATAAAAAACAAACACTTTAATGACTTTCATGTTACCATTGCAATGTAAAAACTCAATACGTAATCGAGGAAAAAGTGAGCGAGAAATATTTTAGACGATATATCGCGATGTAAAATATTGAAGTCTGATTCGAGTATTGTTGAAACAGTTGAAGCAACAAGTCAAAAGAGCACTCTCAGAGAAAGATATTTATATGAAATTTAACGAGTCGAAGAGCGAAAGAAATGTTGCGTTAAGGTGATCACAGTCCAAGAGAAAATGTAATGGCAATGTTGAAGCTTAAGTTAAAAAAGTAGCTTAAAGGAAAATAAAAAGAAACCCAAACAAATTTTATACATCCATAGAAGTTGGTCATTCATAATACTATGGAGACTGAGAGTGGCAACTCTAAGTTTTTATTTGATATTTAATCAAAGCTAGTTTACGTTTTCTCGTTTAGTTTCTTGAGTTTCATTATTGAGTTCAGACAACCTTGCTGATCGCGTTTTAAGTTGTGTTTAAATAAGCTGAAGTGAAAAATTACAGCAAAACTGGTTATAGATATTGCCCATGATTGCATTGAAAAAAAAAATTGTAAAAACAAGTGACACGAGTATCGATGAACAACAAAAATAAAAATTTGTGATTTTTTAAACAATTTTAATCTAGATATAGCCCCTTCATATTATAAAAATATCCATTGTGATATGATTAGTAATAGTGAGTATATTCAAGATCGTTGTGTCGCAATTTAGAAAAAAAGGAAAAATAATATCTAAATAGTAATCGTTGTTAGAATGGGGCGGAAAATAATTTATCATTTCTTCTTATAATTTAATGTTTGATTGAAATTGAAACATTCAGTAATTTAGTACTATACTTTTTAAATGTTTGGAAAACTCATAAGCATTTTTTTTATCTACGTCTAGCATGAGGAAAACAAAAATATTATTCAACATAATCAATGCATTCTTTGGGTATTGATGAAGAAACTACCAAACTTTGCAAGTTTTTACTTTCATTCATTGCTTTCTTTTTATTTATTTATTTAAATATTAACTTCTTACTTTCGTTTATTATTCGTTATAAGTATTGATTTCAATGAGTTTAAGTTTCGAAGCAAATTTAAAAAGCAAGACAAAAAGCGATCAATTAAATTCTTAGGATTTATAATCTGTGTTTACCATTCGAATACAGAAAATTGTGAATCTATCGTGTTAACTATTAGGTAACAGAATGATTAAAATACTTTTAATTCTATTATTCATAAGTTATGAACACTTTCAGAAAATTACATATTATTAAATTAAAAAATAGCGTTCGACCAATTTTGGTATACGTAGACTAATAGAGTACAGGTATACGTAGACTGTACGTATACTCTACATAAACA